TAGTTTTTTCTGTATATTATTCCATATTTCAATTCTTGTCGAAATTCTAAACAAAATTCATACATCACCATATCCTATGATCACTAAAACTCCAATACGCTCTGTTTCATTTAAACGTACCATTTTGCGAGAAAATTATTCACACAAAATGTATTTCTGGCATGTGTTGTCGAGATAATCACTATTAGACAAAAGAACGACGCGGCGTTGTTATGGAGTTAAAAACTTTCAAAGGTAACTTGATGGACTATAAACTTAACGGACTAAAATATTTTTCTATAATTTTTAAAAAATAGATTTTCAAAGTTCGATGTCTCGAAAACAGCTAAGTTTAGGCGCATGATGTGATATATGAATTTTGTTTAGAATTTCGAGAAGAATTGAAAAATGGAATAATATACAGAGTGACCCAATAAAGAAAAAGCAACTTTGTTTCCTCATAACTTTTCGACTGAGCCTGTATACTTAAATTTTCTTTTTTGTAATAGCTTTAAAAAACCCTAAAACGTTTGTGTCCTATGATTTTTCGATAGCTATGTTACTTTAGGAGATAATCGACGGTTTCCATATATATATCAGCGACATTGAACTACGTAATACATAACAATCACTGACTTACCAATTTCAGCAAAAGAACATCAAAAATATCTCTAGTAACGTTGTCTATTACCTCAAAACCATTTACAATTTCAGTTTTGAGGCAAAGCTTGCACGAAGTTTCTTGAACACCAGACATTGCAACAATTTTCTTTGAAACGTAAATATCAAACCGTTACTTAACCTCAATGTAGTCATTGGTAACACCGTGTTGAATGGCGCTTTTGTGTTGATACCTCTCTGGGTGTCATGGGTGCTGAAACAGCCCACGTGACACCATGACACTTAATAACACCCAAGATGGCAGAAATTGCGGATTGCGAGTTACTAAACGGCGCACGGTGTTACGAGTCACCATCCTGATTCTCGATGGGATGGGGATTATATTATGACACCGCGGAAGCGCGATTATGGGAGTTAAGGGGCCACAGAGTCCCCGATTTAATATTTTTTCCAAAACTTATTTATTACGTATATAACACTTGTGAGTAAAACAATTTAATACTCAAAATATACCTAGGTATTTTAATTATTAAAACTCAAGTCGTTTAAAATATCTATATATTTACATAAAACACGAGTAAAAATAAATATCTTTGATAAAAAAAACATACCGCAAAATTAAAAAAACATAAAACTAAAACTGAAACATTAAAAAAATACTGATAGCTATGGTTTCGTAAATAAAACAAAATAATCAAAAATAAATTACAAAAATTGGACTAATTAGAATTATATTGTGAACTTGTAAAGGAACCGGCGTGTCATAACGAGATTGAACGCGGCGCAGACACGCAGACAGTGCCACACATCTGCATCTATCCGATCCAGTTTACTGTATCATGACACAATTGTGCTGACACGTTGTGTTGATACAGCAAGCCGTGTCGGTATTGTTGTGTCAATACACGAAAATTTACAGTGTTACCCATGCCTACCTCAATGAAAAATGAAAGAGAATTATTGTTCTTCTTCCTCTTCTGTTATCCCCTGGCGGATTGATGTAAAAAATTGACGTAACAAATAATTACGGTTGCATTGTCTGTATTATTGAGTGTAGTTTTCAATTTACTTGAAACAAAGTGGTAACTATAATGTATTTTGCATTTGAAAATTTGTTTTGTCAGCAGGTGACGTCATCAACGAGATCCGGATTTTCGATTTGAAGCAAATTGTATCCCTATATGTATATAATACATAAACAGGAGCTTAAGTTGGTCATGATACGTAAGACATAAAGACGTATAATGATTACGTTAATTGTTAAAATCGATTTAAGTATGTGGAGTTGAGCCGAGACAAAGACAGGACAAGTTCTAGAAAAGTGCCACACTTCGCTTCCGGTGTTTATTGAAACAGAGACAACTTAGCAGTGAGTTTCTTGAAAGAGAGCTTCCATAGACCACTCTAGAAACTAGTAGGACATTTATGTGATTATAATACAATGCGTATTCTGACTTGCCATAAATGTACTATTGTATATCAAATGGTTAAATAAAGCTATCTATCTATCTATCTATCTATCTATCTATCTATCTGTTAGTACTATTTTTACCCGAAACATGGCGCCACAAAGAGTTACTACAAAAATCGCCCGTTTTTTCACAATTCGCAGAGAACTAAAGAAAATAGATAAAAATATGTTTTTGGTCTCAAGTTACTCGTAAAAAATTAAGATGAGGGTGAAATCATCCCCAAAAATAGGGAATATCAGAAATAATTGTAAAAATTCCAAAAAAAAATATATGGAGATAATTCAGGGCAAGGAAAACACGGATTAACTATTCATAGTAAGTTTCAAGAAAAAGCTACACCTGAATCAGGGTTGAAGCCACCCCATTCTCAAAAAAATACAACAAAATTCATTCTTATTTTGATTTCTCTAGAGAATAAATCGCAGAAAAATTAATACATTTTCACGACTAAAATGGGCATGTTGACTTCAAGAATCTACCCTCGAGAGCTTTAAGGGGTTGTAAATAATTATAAAAATTCCAAAAATTTTTAATTTTTGGCATTTTTTCAACCCCTAGGGGTGATTTTTAAAATTTTCAAAATACGAAAAGCTGTGCTCATTTAAGTTTTTTATGACAAGTAATTTGCGACCAAATACATATTTTTGTATTTTTTAAATTCTCTGCGGATTGTGAAAAATCTGGCGAAAATCACAGGTTTTTCTTAGATTACAGCTCTCATATTTTCATGTCTTATTTAATACATACAAAATCGTATCCTATGGTTCAAGCTTGACGGATTTAGAAAAGTCTCTAGTAAAAAGTTACCAAGTAAAGCGCTTAAAAGTAGTCGAATGCAAGGTAAAATTATCTACTGAAAAAAAATAAAAGAAATCATAAACTTATTGAAGCCAAGTCAGTTTAGAACTTTTTAGGGCCGCCAATTTGAAAAATTCCCGGGCCGCTTTTTTCTCCCAGTCCGGCGCTGCAAGCGCTCCCTAGGTTTCTATAATTTGGTCCAGATCGGTTTGCAGATTTTTATGTAGGTACTGGAGAAGAACAAAAACTATGTAAAAACAAAAGGGTTCCTTTAAACACATTAATACAATGTAATGCATATGTACTGAAATTATATTTAATTAATTTAATCCTACATACATATAATATAATCATATAATAGTGCACAGTAAAAGCTAAACATTTAAACTTATATTTATGCCTTAAAATAATACTAATAAAATACAATAGGGAACATTGTTAGTGCAATAACGTTTTTTTGCACTTGTAATCCTGCCCCCCTCTACACAAATTACGAAAAATCAAATGAAAATTATAAATTAGATAGGACGAAGGGTTAATTTTAAATGTGTACATATAAAAATTAAAGAGTTCAAAAAAATAAATGAAACAAATGAACACTTATTTAAACATAGAAAATAAAGGCGGTTACTGCAAAATTTGTTTAGCCAACAACGCCTCCAGCCAAAGCCCTCATATTCTCATCAACATGTACACAACTCCTACTCGTAAGGACAACACAAATAATTTAGGACATGACAAATAATGAATATAAGGCTGGAAGGGTGAATTGATTTTGTACAAATATAATTTAAATAACATAAAAAACTTCCCACTAACAAGTACATAACAATTTTCGAGGCACTGCTTTCTGCTTGACCGCAATGCTTGTCTCGAAAATCATGTGGGCAATCGAATACTGTGTTTCCAAGGTAGAAGTGAAAAACGGGACAGATAATATTGCCAAAAATCACCCATGTATCAGAATTGCAAGCGAAAGAGGCTTTGAACATTTTTATAAAGATATTTCAAAACTTCTGACGTATTATCTAACTAAAACGATGCTTATTTATTTCTTCTTTTCATTAAAAGTTTGAGTTTACAAGTCTATACGACATCGGCAACACCGCCTAGTTGATCTCTCAAAGCGTAAATACCACAGCGAAGTGAGTAGTTCTCAACAGTTTTCTATTAAGAAAAACAATGCATATTTATTTTAGTGTTTAGTATTATTGCGTATTTATTTTGTTCCTAATTTTTTTTCCGAACAAAAAACTTTTAACATAGTAAACCGTCTCCTCGTTTAGAATACACATGTACACATTTAAGATTCACTCTGAATATCGGCAATGAAAAATATATATTTTTAAACATAGAAAAAGCAGTTGTATATTACAAAGAATTCATTTTAATGCATTGTTACAAAAGCACTAGTCCGAAATCACTTGTCTCTTTCTGTTTCAGGGAGAGTTTTTGTTCGAACCGATGTTTTTCACAACAGGCTTTACCTTCTACTTCATATTCACATATCTACGGTCGGTCCCTTAAATAACTTCATTTTTGACTGGAATTTGCGTTTTAATGGGCCGTACTTCACACCGGTACTCCTTATCTTTATGTTTCATCTGATGCTTTTTGATATAACTCTTGTATTTAGTTTCGAAATCGCAGTCATTGCATCTGTACGTTTGAACCAGAGAAGAATCTTTATGTTTCAGCTGATGCTGTTTGATATAACTTTTGTATTTAGTTTTGTAATCGCAATCGTTACACTTATACATCTGAACTGCCGAAGGATCTTTATGTTTCAGTTGATGCTGTTTCAAATGACTGTCGTATCTAGTTTTGTAATCACAGTCATTACACCTGTACATTTGAACCCGCGAAGGATCTTTATGTTTCAGATGGTGCTGTTTGATATTACCTTTGTATTTACTTTCATAATCACAGTCTTTACACTTGTACATTTGAACCTGCGAAGGATCTTTATGTTTCAGTTGGTGACTTCTCATATTATTCTTGTATTTAGTTTTGTAATCGCAGTGAGTACAATTGTACATTTGAACCTGTGAAGGATCTTTATGTTTCAGTTGGTGATTTCTCATATTATCCTTGTATTTAGTTTTGTAATCGCAGTGAGTACAATTGTACATTTGAAGCTGCAAAGGATCTTTATGCATCAGTTGATGATTTTTAATAGCACATTTGTATTTAGATTCATAATCGCAGTCTTTACACTTGTACATTTGAACCTGTGAAGGATCTTTGTGCTTAAGTTTATGCCGTTTGATATAACTCTTGTATTTAGTTTTGTAATCGCAGTCAGTACAATTGTAAATTTGAATCTGCAAAGGATATTTATGCACCAACTGGTGTTTGATGAAACTACTCTTATTCAATGATTCGTAGTTGCAACCATTGCATTTATAAATAGGCAGCTGTGAAGTGTCCTTGTGAGGCAATGACTTGCATTCAGTTTTATAATCATATTCATCACATTTGTTTGAGTCTTTGTGTTTCACATAATGACTATTAAAATTGGTCCTCCATTTCGTTTTGAAATCACAGAAGTTGCACTTGTACAATTGTGCTTTGTGATTCACCTGATGCTCGGCAAGGTTAGATCTGCATTTTTTCTTGTAATTACATGATTCGTACTGGTGCCTCCGAAGTAATGTCTTATTTTTAGTTTCAAACTTGCACGATTCACATTTATACACTACCGAATCATTTTTGTGTCTCGCACGGTGTGCCGTAAAACACCTCTCGCTTTCAGTTTCGTAAATACATTTATCGCATTTGTACGATACTTTCCGCTCCTTCTTGGATTTCGTATTATATTTGTTGGCTGCTCTATTCTCAGCTTTACATTCATCCCCTTCTGCATCTCTACAGTCACTCTCCTCCAATGGCTCATCATCGGAGGTCTGCGGTATAGGGTCACTGAAAAAAAATTGCATACATAGAGTATTTTCCAAAGAGGTTGTAATTTTAAGGGGTTACAGGTGATACCAAAATATTGCGTTTTACAAAAAAATCACTAATAAAAATTCTAAATTATTAATCATACATGGTGTCCCATTTTAAATAACGATTGCAATAGGTTCTTAGGGAAGTACTTTCAGGAAAAACTTTTTAGGCAAAAGCTGTAGGATTCTGTGGGGTCCCAAAAGTCAACCGTAGACGCGATTAGAAGGCCAACTTGGATTTGTACGTTCAGATATGTCTTTATCCCATGGGTCAAAGTGACCCTAAAGGGTTATCTTAGGGTTCTAAATAACATTTTGCGGTATTGTTCGGAAAAGCACTTATAGAGACGGAGCTGGTTGAAAGTTTTATGGTTTGATACGAACATACGAAATTATTTTTGCTTCAGGATCCGCATGAATCGATTCCCACTAGAGATCCGTATGATTTATACGAATGAAGCGGATCTTGCCCAAAGAAAAGTGCAATAAATTATAAAAATACAAAATTTATCGTCATTTCGTTACCTGTCCTGATGATCTTCCAGTTTTATTTCAATTTCCTCGGTTTTAAGGTAAGAATGTTGATAGACGTTTGTGTATTTCTTATGTGCATCAAGACAGCTCTTTAAAAAACTGCCATGGGTACGAAGCAAATGAAAGCATGCTGCACATATAACAGAATCCCTGGTAGCACCGATATTCTACAATAAAAAAAGCTGGTGTTAATTAATTGTGATTCAATGTAAAGTTGAAAAGAACAAGTTTCAATGATTTGTAAAGTAAAACATTGTTTTCTGGCCCATACAAATATCTTTCCAAGGAATATTTTAAAATGTAACTTACAACCTGTGGTATATATGTATCGATTATGTCAACATCCACTTCATTTAATGACACAAATCGGTAAGTTACCGGCTGAAAACATAATCGACATATTCTCCGATCTTCCGATACATCGATTAACTGAATATTTCCCTTCTCTTTTAGATAAACTTCCTTTAAATCAATCGCCGACATTACACTAGCCTTTATATGAGGAAAAATTAAATCCTCAGTATCCATACATATTGCCTTAAAATTAAAAGCAGCAAATAATTTTACGGAACATGTTTTACACATGAAATGTTTAACTTTTTCCTCCAAATTCTGAAACAGATTTTTAATTAAGTATAAATGAGCTATACTACGGACATAAAAGAAATCTTGTTGAATTGATCTTACCAAATCCGGCAAAACAATTCTTAGAACATCTCTTATCACTTCTCCTATCACCTGGCAATTTGAATTCCTTATAGTATTTAGGCACAACCTACAAAATGTTTCTTCCAACATTGTTACTTCCATATTTATTGTGTTTCTTATAAGGAATTCTAAACTTTCGATACTGTTAAAAACAATAAAACGATTCCATAATAACATTTATATTTCTCTTCTTCTTCTTCACACTGAATTAGATTACAGATGGGAACATCTTAAATACCTCATTATTTTAGACGAATATAAATATTATACGAGTCGTTCCACAGGACAGCCGTACCATGGTACGCGTGCCATAACGTGGGTCGTGTAAAAATGCCTATCTATATATTTTTATTCATGTGACAGGATAGTGGAAATAAGGTCTATTTGTTTACGGTCTTGCGCCAATCCAAGTCGTAACAAGATTCTTAAAATTGATTTCGCGCGTTTATTGAAAATTGTTACACATTTCATAAAAAAATCAATTTATAAAACAAAATGGAAAGTGACAAAAAAGATAAAGTTGACCTAATTATAATTGAAAATATAATTAACTTTCCACTATTCGATCACATTAACAAAAAAAATATAGATGGTATTCGTTCAAATTTCACAAGACCAGTGGATCATGGAACGAGCCCTGGGACGTTTTCTTGTATCTCTGCCTGCAATATGGCGCCATTCTACACGACATTCCATGGCACGGGTCGAGTGTAATTTGAGCGAATACGCCTATCTGGGGACTATCGTGTGAAATGAGTCTAAAGAGTAGAGCAATAGCTGAACACATCAGGAACTGTTCCTAGACAATTATTGGAAAGTAGTTATTGTCAACTAGCTGTTACGAAGACGAAGAAGAACAATAAGCATCTACTTCATGTTTTAATTAAGGTTATAATATCTAAACAGTACAATTAGGTATTGTATTTACATTTTAAAGCAAATTGTTGCCATGAGTGGTGTTCGAGAAGTTGTGTGTAGTTTTTGTCTTAATACTGTGACTGATAAAAGTTTCGAAATAATAGACAACGCTACTAAAGACATTCTACACGTTCTGTTGCTGAAATTGGTAAGTCAATGAAATGGATTTAACCATTTCAACTAACGTAACACGTCTCAAGATTCTCAACACGTTCAAAGAGAACAATAATCTTTTTTTTACTTAATTGTTACTTTCTGCCACAGTTATTTTCTTTTCGTTTGATTAAAGTTGCATTTTCAGAAATTTGATGATGAGAGCAAAGAGGTTATATGTAATGTTTGCAGAAGAAAGTTACATGCAGCATTTCAGTTTAAGTCAATTTGTCTGAATAGCGACAACACAATTATTCCATATGTGGATAGCGAGAAAATATTACAGCTCGATATAAGAGATGTATATACGAAGGAAAAGACAAACAAGTCAATGGAAATTTCAGACAATCAGAAAATATGTCGATTGTGTATGCAGCCAGTAGAAAGTGAGTTTAGGTGCATACGTGAAGAGGAACTTGAAGCTATCGAGAAATTGGCTCCTGAAATGGTATCGATGATGTTAAATGCTTGCATATTTCACAATAAAAAAATTATACTTTGTAGATTACAGGTATCATCAAAGATCCCATCGTATGTAATTCATGCTTTGATTCTTTGTGTACCCACAACAGTTTCCTAAAACATTGCCTAAAAATAGAAGAAAAGATTAATGATAGTCCAGACACAGAAAGTCCAACAGATATATCGCCATGTGATTTATTCGTTAAGACTGAAAACCTGGACAAAGAATTTGATATTAATGAGATGGAATTGTCGATCAAAGCTGAAAGTATCGATATAAAATCAGAAGATGAAGAAAAGAGGTATTTTTACATTAATATTATACAATTAAATCAGCGTATATTGTTAACTACACATACTATTAAATTGTTACCAAAATACCGTATACGGGGTGTCCGCGTTTTTTGTGGCAGGGCTTTCACAACTTGTACTAAAAGTCCTTAAAAAAAAAGTTCATGTAAACATATATGTATAGATGCGTCGTTTTCGATTTACAGTGTCCAAGTTTAACACGAGAATTGATTTTTTATTCGTAAAACGAAGACCCCTTTTTAGACTTTGTTGGAACTTGGCAACTTTGTAATAATAATACTTATTTTCTCACGTAATTTAATTTGTCCTATTTTCTCCAGTGGCATCACAACAAGATACCAGCTTGATAAAAATAGAAAAAAATATGGTACGTCACTGCTTTTTGGTAAGTTTGAAATTTTTCTCAGATTTAGCTATCAAAAATGCAACTTTTTTGTTATTTACTTTTTTCCCTATCTCGCTTTGTTTAGACAGAAATAAAACTTTTTGTTTCACACAGTTTATTGTAAGAATAAAAAAAATAAACAACACTGCATGGAAAAACAACTTATTGTATAAATAGACCTCAAAGGAGCTGTTCGAAATACCCGCCATTTCGTTCTACACACAAATCACAGCGACGTATCAAAGACCGCCTAACGTCTCTCAAATGATGTGGAGTTATTCTGAGAGCAGCGTTCCGGATTCGTCGTACAAGTTCCTCTTGCGAGTTAACAGGCATAGAGTAAACTGCATCCTTAATAAATCCCCAAACAAAAAAATCCAAAGGTGTTAGATCAGGCGATCGCGGCGGCCACCCAACTGGACCTCCACGATCCACCCATCTCTGTGTGTTAATTAAAGAACGTCAACAAACATCAAACCATTGCTATAATACCTTGGCAACTCAAAAAGCAGTGGCGTACCATATTTTTTTCTATTTTTATCAAGCTGGTATATTGTTGTGACGCCACTGAAGAAAATAGGACAAATTAAATTATGTGAAAAAATGAGTATTATTATTACAAAGTTGCCAAGTTTCAACAAAGTCTAAAAAGGGGTTTTCGTTTCACGAATAAGAAATCAATTCTCATTTTAAACTTGAACACTCTGTAAATCGAAAACGACGCATCTGTACATATATGTTTACATGAAGTTTTTTTTTTAAGAGACTTTTAGTACAAGTTGTGAAAGTCCTGCTACAAAAAACGCGGACACCCTGTATATGTAATTTTTTTCAGCAACACGATACTGCAGAGCTCCGATATTGGACCATACGACAAGAGCAATTGTAAACACGAGAATGGATCAACAAACGAATGTAATACAAAATCCAAGAAGAAGCGCAAAGTATCGTACAAATGCGATAAATGTATTTACAAAACTAGAAGCGAGAGCTGTTTTACAGCACACCGTGCAAGACACGAAAACAGTGCAGAGGTGTATAAATGCGAATCCTGTAAATATGAAACTCAAAATAAGAAATTATTTCAAAAGCACCAGTTGAGACATAGAAACCCTTCGAAAATACATATACATCAGTGCCAATCGTGTAATTACAAGACAAAGAACAGGTGTGAGCTTGCTAAGCATCAGGTGAAACACAAAAGCGCATCTGAAGTACGATTGTACAAGTGCGACTTTTGCAATTTCAAAACAAAATTGAGGATTAGCTTTAATAACCATTGTATAAAACACAAAGACTCAAACAAATGTGACGAGTATGACTGTAAGACCAAATACAACTCATTGATACATAAGGACGCTTCACAACTGTTGATTTATAAATGCGAGGATTGCAACTACAAATCAAAGAATAAAACACTTTTAATCAAACATCAGTTGGTACATAAAGATCCCTCGCAGGTCAAAATGTACAGATGCAACGACTGCGATTATGAAACTAGATACAAGAGTTATCTTAAAATTCACCAACTGAAACATAAAGATCCTTCACAGGTTCAAACGTACAGGTGTGACGACTGTGATTATGAAACTAGATACGGAATGTATATCAAACGGCACCTACTGAAACATAAAGATCCATCGCAGGTTCAAACGTACAGGTGTAATGACTGTGATTACAAAACTGTATACAGAGATTATATGGAACGACACCATCTGAAACATAAAGATCTTTCGCAGGTTCAAATGTACAGATGTAACGACTGTGATTATGAAACTAGATACAACAGTTATCTTAAAGTTCACCAACTGATACATAAAGATCCCTCGCAGGTTCAAAAGTACAGATGTAATGACTGCGATTATGAAACTAGATACCGGAAGGATATCAAACCGCACATGCTGAAACATAAAGATCCTTTGCAAGTTCAAATGTACAGGTGTAACGACTGCGATTACGAAACTAAATACAAGAGGAGTATCAAAGTGCACCAACTAAAACATAAAGATCCTTCACAGGTTCAAATGTACAGATGTAAAGACTGCGATTTTGAAACTAAACACATGCAATCTATTAAACGGCATCAACTGAAACATGAAGATCCATCGCAAGTTCAAACGTACAGGTGTAATGACTGTGATTACGAAACTGTATACAGGGATTATATGAAACGACACCAACTGAAACATAAAGATCCTTCGCGGGTTCAAATATACAGATGTAATGACTGTGACTACAAAACTGTATACAAGAAATATATCAAACGGCATCAACAGAAACATAAAAATCCTTCACAGCTTGAAATGTACAAGTGTAACACGACTGTGATTTCGAAACTAAATACAGAAAATATATAAAAACGCATCAACTGAAGCATAAATATTTTTTGCCTGTTCTAATGTACGGCTGTAACAACTGTGGTTACCAAATCGAATACAAGGGTTTCATGATACGGCGCCAGCAGAAACATCCTTCACAAGGTGAAATGTACAGGTGTAATGACTGCGATTACAAAACTGAAGACAAAAATTATATGAAATAACACCAATTAAAACCTAAAGAATCCTTCGCATATTCAAATATACAAGCCTAATGACTGCAACTACCAAGGAACACAAACTGAAACACAAAGATCCTTCGGGTTCACATATACTGATGTAACGACAACGATTTTGAAACTAAATGTAGGAGTAGTATTAAATATCATATATTGAAGTGTAGAGTTCTTAAATGTAAATGTACCAGTGTGATTTGCTAACAGCGATCGTAAATATGTGAATATGACTTTATTATATACAGGGTGTCCCAATTTTAATCTGTCAAACATTGGGAGCGAATTGAACAACCAAGAATAATGTTACTATGTCTTATATTTTGAAATCTGAACCGTTTTCGAGATAGAAGCCTTTAAAAGCCTCCGAGAAATGTTCCCTCTGAAATAGTAGAGATATTCGGGTTCTGAAAAAAAATGTACAAATATCTTATCATTTCAAGGAATATTTACAGCTAATGAATTTTTCTGGGTTTCTTGAAAATTGTTAGATATCGAAGTAAGTAAGACAAAGTACTATTTTTGGTTGTTCTAAATACCCTTAAAGTTGAATAGATTAAAACCGGGACACCCGGTATTATCATCTATAAACTCTTAACTGTTTGTATTGAATAAGAGGATAATTAAATAAAGCATTTTTTTAAATTATCTATACTTAAATTCTTAATTATCCTCAGAAATGTTCAAAGCATCCTCCTCCCCTTGTCATTCCTATGCAGCGGTACTGTTTGGCAATGCAATCTGTCCCGTTATTCACATCTAGCTCAAAAACTTAATATTCAATTGTTCATATGATTTTCGAGATGAGCGTTGCGGTAAACAATTCCGTACTTAACAGTGGGAAATTTTTTATTTTATTTAAAGTATATTTGTACAAATTCAAATCACAATTCAAGCGTGACATTCATTGAATTCAGCTGTCAATTTCCTGTTCTAAATGAATTATTTGTGTTGTACTTAAGAGTGTGAGTTGTGTACACGTGGGACGGGAAGATTATGGCACGTATTTTGTAGCAATTATCACATTTTTCTGTGTTTAAATAAGCTTTCATTTACTTTTATTTGTCTGTGTTTCTTACGTACCAGTAGGCCAAGCAAATAAAATTTTTACTCGAAAAAAGTCCTATCCGCGAGATTATTGTAAAATTGTCTAAAGGAACATAATACAAGACATCTCTCATCTCGTGAGTCAAAAACTTTTATTAGCTAACTTTTCTATTTAAACAAATAAGTGAGGAAAACAGTTTTTTCGCTTTGCAGGGAAAACCATCAATTTTAGCGAAAAGTGACTCACAGACAGCTTATAGGGAAGAAAACTATCCACAAAATGAGACTTGTTAAATTAAAATCGGTGAATAAACAAAAAAGTTATTGCAAAAAAAAACAAGAAAAGTGCCCATTTTTAATTTGTTTATAGCTATCGCATTTATTGTTAAAATTTTATAAAACCTACGAGAAGTTGAGAGTTTTGTCATACTTTAAAAATGTGCAAAGAGTGGGCGCTGTAGGTGCAATAGTTTTCGCACAATTCTATTTGTTTATAACAGAGGCTCCAAAAGCTATGAACTTGAAGCCTCTGTACAGGCGTTAATTTTCAACCAAACATGATTCTGAAAGCGTCATTGTAATCTTAAAGACGTAATTAAACGACCTATTAAAAAATATCACCGTTGTTTTGACACTAACTAAAATTGTTAATGTGTTTGTATGTATTATTAATTAGATATTTCAAAATATTAACCTTATAAAGATTGACATGAATAACTTATAACTGTGATGTGATGGCTCAGCGTGTAACGCGTTGTACTGTCACGCTGGGGTCCCGGGTTCGATCCCTAATCCAGGTATGACTTTTTTTTCAACTAATATTTATTTCAAATAGCATGAAAATTAAAATCGAAACAATTTTATAAACTTTTCAAGTCGGAAGAAATTTTAAACACCGCACCGCTGATGTTGTGGGACGACGATACACTGTTGCCAATTAGGATGCTCAACTTAGGTGTTTAGTATTTACATTGTGAAAAGGTGACGATTTGATTCTTAAAAAAGTTGTTGAAAATAGTAGTTTATTATAACATTTGTGTCAATATCTCGTTAATTTATATGCTTTTGTATTAAATTATCTCCCAAGTACAGATAAATGTTAAAAATAAATGAGGATCAGTAGTTCGAGGCAATAAAAAAAAAACAGGAAATTAAGACATCTGGAAGTGTTGTCTTATCTTTATATCTATAACTCTTCTGTGCACTGAACTCCTATAAACGACTGGACAAATTTGATGAAATTTTGTGTGTGTGTTCAAGTGGATTCGAGAATGGTTTAGATTCACAATTCGATTCGATAGATGTTTTTTAAATTAATTTAACGTTTGAACAGGACAACGTTTGTCGGATTCGCTAGTATAACAATAAATTTTTAACAATTTGAATAAAATTGTTGCCGTTTTTGACTTGAAGTTCAAATTGATGCGCGCTGTAAATTTTGCCAATATCTCGGCTTCTATTCATCGTAGAAACTTTTTTTTTTTTGAACAGGGGTAGCTCGACGAAAAAATAACAATGGTCGTATTTACGAATTCGTAGAATAGCCCTGAACCCCAGAAAAAATGTTTTTTATAATAAATCCTTTTTAATACAACAATTATTGTTAAACGAAATATTAATTAAAATTTCATTTTCGGAATTATTTTACTATTATTAAATAAATAAATGAAGCTATCGTTCATTTAAAAATTTATTTTTTTTACATATTAAGGCAAAGTAAACTTGTTTTTTCAATATTTTGTTAGCCATTTAATTACGATTTAAATGTAAAATTAAAGTAAAAATTCACAAATTATTTTCAAATTATTATTTATTGTTAAAAGATTTAAAAAAGAATAAAAAGCATTTGAATTTATTGCAAAATTCTCAAAATTAAAAAATATTAAT